GGGTCGATTTCGGCACTTATGCCAGTGGTTGTGAGACTTGCCCACTCACCCCCACCGTTAGGCGCTGCATCTGCCGCTAGGGTTTATCGGGTGTTAGCGGCCGTCGTGAGTTCCCTTCGGGAACGGACACGATAATTTACTTTTTTTTATTTTTATAGCAGCATTGATCACACTGTGACATGGGTTAATCTACGGTATTATCTCCATTGTAAGCCCAGCGCTTATATATTTTTTCAACCAGTCTGGACCCCGGGCTTATATTAGAGACTGGGCTTCTACAAGAGACTGGGCTTGTCATTTTTCAACCACCTGGTACATGCACACTGCTTATTATATTTTTCATTAAATCTGTAACACAAAGTTTCCCAGCAGGTACCAGGACTGCAGTTTTGTGCTCTCTGGTAGAGTCTACACCGAGTGAGTCTGAACTTTAGATCTCGGGATCACAGACTTTTACCGCAGCAATCAGCATGCGCGTATGTGATGGGTGACGTCAAGAGTACAGGAAAACCAGAGTGTGCAGCTCGGATGGGTGGCTGTCACGGCGGAGCTCCGCGATTACATCATTTTAGTGATGTAGTGCCTACAAGCAGGATTCAAGCAGATCTCTTTCTGCACAACTGCAGCTCAGTTGTACGCACTACGCCATTTCTCGCCTCAGATCTGCGCCAAGTATGATGTAATCATGGAATTCCGCCGTGACAGACACCCATAGCAGAAAAGGCCCCAAGCTGCACACTCTGGTTTTCATGTACTCTTGGTGACGTCAAACATGCATGGGCATGATCCATGCAGTTAGTTCTCCATTATAATTATTAAATAATTATAAGCCCTGCGCTTATATTGGAGACTGCGCTTGTATATCGTCGGAGCACTATTGGAGTGCGCTTATAATAGAGACTGGGCTTCTACAAGAGACTGCGCTTGTAAGAGAGATAATACGGTAATGCGACAATCTCTCCTCCTTTTCTCCTGTATGTGCTCTCAGACTACACTTTAGCACCCTCGATAGCCATTACACGAACCAAACAAACTCCAAACAACGAAGGGGTTACGGGTAACTTGTGGAATTGTTAGCGTGTGTAGTGGCTAGCGAGGATAGTAATGCGTTGGCTGAGAGCGCATAGAGGGAACGAAGAGGGGAATAGCTGCATTTTTGAACAGCCTACAGTCCATTCCAAAACTATAGACGCGTAGTGTTTTGAAATATTTCAAATTTGGCCGGAACTTTTTCAGAATAGTTTTCGGAATATTGCTCAGGTCCGCTACACAATTACTCTCATAATTATAGTTTCTAAGCGACTGGATAACAGACGCCCAATTTCGAAAAATTTATGCACAAAGTGATCACAGATCATATGTGGTATAGATGCTGGCATAACTGTTTTTGCCTAGGTACGCGTCTATAGTTTTGAAATGGACTGTAATGGTACCGCTCACACAGTTAATCTAGCCAGAGGTAGTCCACGTTTAATTAACAGGTAGGTTTACCTTGAACAGAAACTATACGAACCCTGTAGCAACAAAGGTGGCATGTGCAACATTACAATTTTAAAGAGGCCAAGCCATTTGGCAACAGGCCCAACGCTATCTGGCTTAAGTGTACCCACTAACCGAACTAGCTTGCGCACGCACGCACGCACGCACGCACACACACACACACCATTGGACCATTGGACGCCCATCGCCGGAGGCGATGATAGCGATGCTACAGCAGAAGCCATAGCAACTTGTGCTGGGATTGCACCATTCAACAGCTTGCAAGGCTGAAGAATTGACCGCCACTATTCAGCCTGGTCTGCACCACACAGCTATGAAGTGGCTTTTTTCTGGCCAGTGAATCCCTACTTTTTGGTCTTTTGTATTCTTTTCCCGCACACAAATCACACCACATACTCCGGCATGCACTGGCTGTTGGTAACCACCCAGGAGAATGAAAGAAAAGTCAGGAAGAGTCTGAGAAAGAGAAGAAGGACGCGTGTGACCATGATCGTCGGAAATCGAACCCGCAACCTATCGATTGGAAATCGCTGCACATACCACTGCACCATATGGGACACCCACACACCCACACACCCACACACGCACACGAGCACACACGCACACACACACACACATGCATGCACACACACACGCACACACACACACGCGCGCGCGCGCGTGCGCGAGCGCGCACACACACACACACATATGCACACGCACACACATACACACACACCTTTTTTGACCTTTTGATGCACATGAATGATAGTGATGCTACTGCAGAAGACATAGCAACTTGTGCTGGGGCTGAACCATTCAACAGCTTGCAAGGCTGAAGAATCGACTGCCACAATTCAGCCTGGTCTACACCACACAGCTATGAAGCGGCTTTTCTAGTCAATGAATCCTTACTTTTTGGTCTTTTTTCCATTTCTCCCACCGCCCACACCACACCACATATTCCGGCATGCACTGGTAACCGCCCAGGAGAAGGAAAGGAAAGTCAGCAGGAGTCTGAGAAAGAGAAGAAAGACGTGTGTGTGTGTGTGTGCACATGCGCGCGTGCGTGCGTGCGTGCGTGTGTGCGTGTGTGTGTGTGTGTGTGTGTGTGTGTGTGTGTGTGTGTGTGTGTGTGTGACTTCACTTCATAGCTGTGTGGTGTAGACCAGGCTGAATAGTGGCGGTCACTTCTTCAGCCTTGCAAGTTGTTGAATGGTGCAATCCCAGCACAAGCTGCTATGGCTTCTGCTGTAGCATCGCTATCATCGCCTTCGGCGATGGGCGTCCAATGGTCCAATGGTTTGTGTGTGTGACTCGGCACCCCGAAGACTGCAACTGGTGAACAATTGATTCTAGCCTTTACTTCCCCTTTAATATCGTACCGAGTGCAGCTTCACAACTCTCACCTGAGCATCGTATATCACGAATTGTGTCCAGCGGCATGCCAATTGCGAGTCTCCAGGCATGGTATGGAGCTGTGGAATCCTTGTCGCTCCGACAATCAAGTGTTGTCTTGGGGAGCGAATCGGAGTAGGGTTGTCTTAACTGTATGCCCTGGCTCTTGTTGGCGCAGTCGATTTGGACCTGAGCGTACAGCCGGTGGCCGTCGTCGGAAGCGTTATTGGCGGCGATCACGACACCACCGCCAGCAATCGTGCCGGACACGCTCGGGCAGACCATGGCGACGCAGGTCGGGTACGGGCGGAACAGCTCGGCGTTCGGGCCGCACTGCACGGTCTGCGGATGTCTCGGCAGATAGCCCGGCTTGCACGTCCGGTTGAATTTATGATTGGGAAGCACTTCCCACCTGTGCACGCCATCTTGCAAGTATATGCAACGATCTGTTCAAAAGCACAGAGCATTCAAAATGCACACTCAGATTCCTGTTGGTTTGTGTTTGAAAATCTTCATTTTACACATGCATTTTCCTGATTTCTTCTGCATTTTTTGTATTGCATCTTAATCCATTGTGTTAGTCTTTGCCTGTATGAGAGGCTTACTGAGTAAAAAAACAACAACAAACAAACAAAAACAACCAAGAAAACAAATAAACACACTCATAGTGTGTGGAAAGGCCGATTCACAATACAAGTTTCTGCGACGCGACACGCGATTTGCGACGGTTGCGACAAGAAACTGCTTTGTCGCTAGCTGTCACGTGCAGTCGCGTGCAGTCGCAAGGCACCTGTCGCAGAAGTTGAAGAAAGTTCAACTTTTGCGACATGCGACACGCAACATACACAAATGGAGTACAGTTCTACCCTGGGTGCAAGCGCAGTGTAAAGGATGTCGCAAACATGAAAATGTGTGTGAACCGAGTGTCGCTGTCGCAGCTCGTCGCAGGTGTCGCATGTCACATCGTATGAAGTTGTATTGTGGATCGGCCTTAAGTGTGCAGCGCTTCTGTAACTCATTGGCCCCAGTCCTCCTGTATCCGATTTGTTGTTGTTGTGCTGTCATTGAAAGAAAATTATGCATCAATAGAACTACATGAAACACCCTGCACACACCATCCTCAAATCAAGTGGTTCGCTGTAAATTTAATACTAATGTCTCAATAAAATGCAGTACTTTTACATGCCTGCAATGGAGCTTGCGTACCTTAAGAGTTAAAAGAGATATCAAAGTACAGCAACAACAACTTTAGCACAAGCCCTTACAGGAATTTCAGATTGACTGCACATGTGCATATGCACATGTATGTACACACATGCACGAATGAACACACGCACGTACATGCACGCGCGTGCACACACACACACACACACACACACACAAAACACAAGTGCTGCTGCCCACTCACATACCCGCGCCCTCACTTACACACAAGCTAGCCCAAGCGCGCACATGCACACACAACATTTGCACAACACACAGTCACAGATGCACACAAACACTCCTGCACCCACCCATTCACACGCAGGCAGACAGACAGACAGACAGACAGATGGATGGACAGATGGACAGACACACACACACACACACACACACACACACACGTCGGCACACACACACACACACATACGCGCATGCGCGGAAAACGCATGCACACATGTAGGAGGACATTTTCTATGGCTGCGTCGGTTGGCCTCTAGGCAGCCAACTGGCTGCGAGCTATCTCACCTTTGCATGTAAACATAGTTGAGTTGTTGATAAAGTCTTTACGAGATCCAATAGGACAATCACAAACGTATGAGCCAACAGTGTTTTTACAGACCGCATTCGATCCAGGGCCTAACCAAACAGTTGAACAACAACAAAACATAGGTTGGAATGGACTCGGATGGAGAGCCAAGGATAAGTTTATGGTAAAGAACACAGGTCGAAGAAACAACAGATAGCTGTATAACGCCAGTACCGTCGGTCAGTGCAGTGCAATGTTATGGCAGGAGCTGATTGTTTAGTAACTGGTGGTGTTAGTGGACATTATAGCGTAACTTGTAGTTTCTTGGTCCGTTTTTTCTTTACTATAAACATAGGCTCAGTCGACTCTACTTATACAATACCACACATGTGTACGGGGTGTTGCCGTTAGCCTAGCCACTAGAGAGAGAGAATAGCTGACACATTCTAGGTAGCGCGGTCAAGAGTTCATTCCGAGTCAGCTTTAAATTGTGTTGTCTTGGGGATGGGTACGATAGCTGGTGTCATAATTCAGCCTCCAGATCCGGAAAGGGGACTTTGGTAGTTTGTTTTTGAATTCTTTATTCTCACGACGGCACCATCGCCAATGAGAGATAAGTTTAGTTTCGCGCAGTATTGCGAAAGTGCACTTGAAAGTTGACTTTCCCTTATAAAGTGATGTAAAATAAACACTTTTTCAATCGCCCATATATAGGATTTTACACCGTGATCTGCGGGAGGACAGAAACGCGATTCCACAGATAACTCACAATGCTCAAAACAAGTTATACCATGGTACGGTACGGAGGGCCTGTTTTCAGCCAATCAGCGCTCGTCTAGCCATGGTTATATGGGCCAGTATAAATCCCGCGCGGGATTTATATAGAATATAAATCCCGGTGCACGGTACGTACGCTAGGGCACTGCCACCGTACATGTTCACTGCCTGAAAGGCAGTGAACTTGTACGGCGGCAGTACTCCAGCGCACGGACCATACATAAACAGACACAACGGACACCACATGCGCGTGTACACTCCACACAGAACGGCACACTGACGAGGAACAGTACACAATGGAAAAGAAGAATGACCTGGAATTCGTCTACAGAGTATTCTGTTATACTGAATCTGAGGATAAAAAACGTCGAATAACCACGAAGTATCCCGAATGGGCCAGCAATGTACATTGTACTTCGAAGAGTTGAAGATCATCAACAGACTGTCTCCTTCGTAAATAAGTTTATAATACCAGTGTACATGTACTTCAACCCGATTGGAAAAGGCTACAATAGATTGGATTGAAATGTGATACAAAACAGTGTATGCAAATGCATCTACTTGCAAGCAAAACTGATTATGAGATGCCCCATGTGAAAATCAGCACTGTACCATAATTATAGTAACACTTACTCCCAAAGAGTCCAAGCTGTAATCTAACTAGTGACGGTAGTTTGATTCAACGACAAACTCCAGCACCGCAGCAATTCAGTCGACTTCCGCACCGCTCACGACTCAAGACAAGATCATGAAGATGCTACAATATGTACTGGAACTGAAAGGAAATCGTATGCCAAACATCCACGGAGGAATCTCCTCCTGACCTTGCTCGACCATTCTTTCAATTGACAACTGATAACCATCAGAAGATGTTCATGTACTGCATGATGTAGGAGATCTCCAAATAGGTTCGTTGTTCTGGAAATGCGTAGGGGTACCTGGCATAAGTAGGATATGACCCTCGTAGTCGGGTTATACCGTACCCTCATATAAATCCCTCCTGCTATCGCAGTCGGGATTTATATTCAGCCGGTATAACCCTCTGACTCCGGTTATATCCTCTACACATAAGCCCCCCTTTTTGGATCGAGAGGCTCGTATAAGATGTACCATACGTACGAGTATTGTGTGATGTGTGTTGCGCGCATTATTTGGTGAATACAAGAGTACGCGTTGTCAGAAGGGAGAACCTGCTTCCACCTGTGGGTGCCTGCATGCGTGTGTGTGTGCATGCGCGCACGCGCGCACGTGTGTGTGTTTGTGCGTGTGTGTGCTTGTGTGTGTGTGTGTGTGTGTGTGTGTGTGTGTGTGTGTGTGTGTGTGTGTGTGTGTGTGTGTGTGTGTGTGTGTGTGTGTGTGTGTGTGTGTGTGTGTGTGTGTGTGTGTGTGTGTGTGTGTGTGTGTGTGTGTGTTCCATCCTCACCCACTGCTGAAGAGGCCCAGCGCTGCCTTCGCTATCTTACGAACGGGAAAGCTGCTGGAAGCTCCGGCATTCTACCGGAAATGGTCAAATACAACTGCGACCTATTCTATGCCAATCTGTTTAACCCTTTGTCCTTTTGCCCAAAATGTATGTGAGGGGTACCTGCTTCAACAAATCCACTCACCATTCCCAAGCAGCTGATATTTTGTATGTACACTTTATGTTTTCCTGAAAGCTTATGATAATTGTGAACTAAAAATGCAGTTTGGGTTGAATTCCTCAGATAGGCGTGGCTAAACAAGAGTATCAAAAATGATTTTTTGGCAAAAATCGGCAAAATTCAAAGTTCAAGTTCTTTCCTATGTATAATAATGTGCAATTTGTACAAGTATGACCTGGAGTAGCACCTCTGGCATGTTGGGCAAACACGGAGCATTAGCCAGAGGAGTGCCAGTGGCGACATGCTCGACATTGCGGCCCCGTGCGGCTGCTCTCCTCGCTCTGCGCGGCTGTCGACCATGAGTTTGACGGCGCGCAGGTGACGGAGATCTGGACCTCTCTGGGATCGGACTACGCTCCCGCTCCACGTGCTGCGGCATTCTAGCTGACCCTGCTGCTCCACGACGGGTAAGACACGGCGGTGGTACACTCTCTTCACCACGCGAGTGCTGTTCTGCCGATCCTGCGCTCAAATCGGAGCGGTCGACATGTCCGACCGCTGGGTCGACGGTTACGACATCGTAATCCGCGTCGTCATCAAAATTAGAATCAACACCTTCTACTAAGGCTTCGTCCAGTTCGTTCTCTTCATCAGAGGACATAGGATTGTCGCTTGGGTCACTCCAGCTATCCTCAAACAAGCGCTTCATCTGCATCAAGCGACCTGCGTGCTGCCATGTCGGAAGTCACGGCGCAAGCAAACTTCGACTTTGATTTCCTGAAATTTTTCAAATGGCAACTAGCCCCAGCGACCCGTGTATCATCCTCTACATAGCATAGGCTGTGTGCACGTGAATTTTCATGTGGATCGGGTGATCCGTGTAGCTTCCAGGTCGCTTTGAACATGCGTGGGTTGAACCGTACACAGGTGTACGGTTCAAGTATGGGCGAAAGGACAAAGGGTTAAGCTCATTACCGCGGTTTGGGAGGAGGGCGTAGTACCGCAAGATTGGGTGAATGCTGAGATAATACCGATACCCAAGAAGGGTGACCTCACTAGCTGCGACAACTGGCGTGGCATCGCACTCCTCGACGTCATTGGCAAGCTGTTCGGACGCCTGCTGCAAAACCGATTGCAGAAAGTCGCCGAAAGTGTGCTGCCTGAATCACAGTGTGGTTTCCGGAAAGGTCGCTCCTGCACGGACATGACGTTTGTTGTTCACCAGGTTGTAGAGAAGTGTCACGAGCACCAATCCAAGGGATTCCTGGTGTTTGTCGATTTGAGGAAGGCATACGATTCTGTTCCGCGTGCTGCACTGTGGATTGTCCTGCTGAAGCTGGGAGTCCCGGAGCAACTGGTCAGCCTTCTGAAGTCTTTTCACGACAACATGACAGCCACGATCATCGTTAATGGTTCCCCCACTGAAGGCTTCCCAGTGTGCAACGGATTGCGCCAAGGGTGTACAATTGCACCAGTCCTTTTCAACTTGTTTGCTGGTGCAGTGATGGAACGTTGGTGCGCACGCGTCCAAGAGCGTGGAGTGTCTGGTTTTCCACTCCGTACCTGTGCCGATGGTCAGCTTTTCAAGAGTTCTAAGCGTGGTAATGGGGTCATCACAGATGGTGAGTTTGCTGATGATGCAGCCTTGTTTGCACCCAGCCACTCGGATGCTCAGCGTATGCTTGAGATATTTGCGGAGGTCAGTGGAGCATTCGGGCTGTCTCTCAACATGGCAAAGACAGTGTTCATGGCTGTTGGGCATCAGATCAACGACAGTGACCGTACCCCGCTAAGCGTACAAGGCAACGCCATCCAGCATGTCAGCCAGTTTACATATCTCGGCTCAGTGGTAACACCAGACGGACGATGCCACACCGATGTGTCCAACCGCATAGCTGCTGCATCTAAGGCCTTTGGCAGCCTCTACTCGTCAGTTTTTCGGAACACTTCACTAACATCCAAGACAAAACAACACACGTACACATGCTGTGTGTTGTCGGTGCTGTTGTACGGGGCTGAGAACTGGACACTGTTGCGTGCCGACATACGTCGCCTTGAACAATTCCACAACCGCTGCGTTCGTGTCATTCTCGGCATCTCGCGTTCCAAACAGTGGGAGGACCACCTGTCATCTGCCTCGCTGCATAGAATGTGCGCTACAGAGCCAGTTGCTGACATGGTTGCCCGTCGACGGCTGCAGTGGCTTGGCCACATTGCCAGGATGGACGACCACCGGCTTCCAAAGGCAGTGTTGTTCTCGTGGCTCCATACTCCACGCCCTGCTCATGGCCCCCGGCGTCGATGGCGTGATGTGGTACGCGATGACCTCAAGGCGTTCGGTCTATACACCGGTTGGTACGACCTCGCAGCTGAACGTGGCGAGTGGATCCAGTCCATCTCGGATGCTATTGTTGCACGGCGTTTACGCCTTGAAACGACAGCCAAGTCAGTGTGTTGTGCGATCTGTGAGCGACTCTTCGCCAGTGAAAGCGGACTTCGGCGGCACAAATGCAGGGAAGAGCGACTGAAGCCGATCCATGAACAGGCCGGTGCTGTGTTGTGCGAAACGTGCCATCGTTGGTTTGCTAGCCGAGGTGGATTTGCTGTGCACAGCTGCTCTCCCAGTCTTGGTGACGCTCCAGTTCCAGAGATTGTTGCACCTCGCCCACCTGATTGCAGCCAATGTCATTATCACTGCCACACCTGTGACCGCTGTTTCCGGAGCAAAGCTGGGCACCACCGGCACAACTGCAACCGCAGAACATGCAGCTCTGGCTCCGAGCGCCGCACCATCCCATGCCCGACCTGCTCTCGGAAGTTCACACGTCTCCAGTACCTGGCTCAACACAAATGCAAGAAGTAACTCTGCCCTCCTTGCCTCTCTGAGGCCCTGCATCACCTTTAGGTGGCAGTTTTAAGGTTTCAAGGTGTGTGTGTGTGTGCATGTGCATGTGTGTGTGTGTGTGTGTGCGTGTGTATGTGTGTGCTGTGTGTAATCCCAGCACAAGTTGCTATGCCTAACATAGCTTTTCGCTATCATCGCTTCCGCGATGGGCATGTGTGTGTGTGTGTGTGTGTGCGCGCGCGTGTGTGTGTGTGTGTGTGTGCGTGTTTGCGCGCGCGTGTGTGTGTGAGCGTGTGTGTGTGTGTGTGTGCTTGCGTGCGTGTACATGTGTGTGTGTGTGTGTGTGTGTGTGTGTGTGTGTGTGTGTGTGTGCGCGCTTGCGTGCGTGTACATGTGTGTGTGTGTGTGTGTGTGTGTTTGCGTGTGTGTGTGTGTGTTTGCGTGTGTGTGTGTGTGTGTGTGTGTGTGAGCGTGTGTGTGTGCTTGCGTGCGTGTACATGTGTGTGTGTGTGTGTGTGTGTGTGTGTGTGTGTGTGTTTGCGTGTGTGTGTGTGTGTGTGTGTGTGTGTGTGTGTGTGTGTGTGAGTGACTCTCAAGTGAGTGCCGTGCATACGCAGGGCACGTTTGGTCTGGGAGCGAGAGTGAAACCTTGCACAAGCCCACACATACAGCGGCGTTACTCACGTGTGCATTGCCTCTCAATGGTGGAGTTGCGACATTCATCCACATCCGAACATTTCCTAAAATAGCCATCGTAATAATGTCCGGACTGGCAGGTGCACTTGTATGTAATGCCCTCCTGTGTACAGTTGACATCCTTGCCACAAAGCTTCTCCTTGTTTTTGCAGTAATCGCGCACTGGGATGAACCGACAGGCAAACAGACCAGACAGGCTGCATAAGACTATGATCAATGCAAGCGGCGATGACGCATGATCTTGATTCTAACACACCAT